AAACAAAACAAAAACAACGAAAATGTGCCCTAAAATCAGCCTGAAATCGTGTAACATTGCAGAAATCGGTGGATATGTTTGAATTTTTTTTTCATTTATAATTTTCGGATTTTTTAAATCTATTTTTAAATTCAATTTTAATATTTAAAGCCTGCAAATTTTTTTAGCGAACACTAATATTTTTAAAAATCTAAAAATTTAAATACACGTATTTCATTAATCAAAAACCTTACACTAAACGTTATCTTTAAAAAAAGAACGTTTCTAATAAAATCACGAAATAATACTGAATTCTTTTCACTGTTTTACAAATAAAACTCTCACTCCTACATACATATATTAAATATTCAAATTTTAATTAAATAGCATTGACGGCAGAGTTGGCAAATTGACTGGTCCATTGTGAACAGATGTATTTTGGACTGGTCCATTGCCATTAATAAAATATTAAATATGGTTAAAGTGTTACACTAATGGCCTAATGGACCGCACATTTGCCAACCTCAATTGACGGTATTGAATACTCTAGAAAAATGAATAATAATATAATTATTATTAAGCAATAACAGCAACAGCAACAACAACAACAACAAACATTAACTCCGATATCCCACCTCCACGAACTCCTCGTACTCGTCCCGTCCCTCCGCAACCCCTAGTCCTCCCACAACCCGTCAGCTAATTAACATAAATATTACGAATATTCACAACTTGAACAGCAACAACAGCAACAGCTTCAACAACAACAGCAGCAACTATTACAACAACAACAACAACCTTAACAACAAGAACAACAGCAAAATTATATTATTCGACGTTTAGAAGAAGTGCGTTGGCACAAATTTATTTAGTTCTTTTATTTTTATAATTTATTTAGTTCTTTTATTTTTATAATTTCTATGTTCATCTATCATAGATAAATAAATAAAAAAATGTTTTTATTATATTTTATTATCAAGAATGTTAAATCCACACAATCAATAAAGGATTTTTGCAAAAGATTTGTAAACTCTCGTATATTTGCACATGCATATATTTACATTTTTACTAAAATATATATTGAATTTTGTTATTTACTAAAAATATTAATGATTTGGGACGTTAAACCTATAGATTCCATACATATGCGCTGATTTTGTTTGAACCTCAAAATTTAATATGGTATTGATTATAACGTTATGAATACTTTATATTAACAAAAACCCATCAGACATTGGTTTGACGGGCTTTTGAATAGTAAAATGTTTTTTTTGGCAGAGCAAATAAATTTTTTTAGGGTTAATTATCATTCTATTGACCAGTTTACACATTAAAAATACTCGTATTTAACGCCGAGACACAATAAGATATAAGGTTTGAGGTCTAAAAAACCAAATCAGAGCATTAACACATTTTAGGATTATTTTTAAGGTTCACTTAAGTTTTTTCTAGCATACATATTAATATTTTATTTATAGAAGGTATTTTAATTCGTATTATTTTTATTATTATTATTATTATTTATCAAACATAACTTTATTTCTATATATTTATATTGACACGTAAAACTTGCTTTTTTGAATCATGATAAAACACTTATTGTGTATGAATTTGATTTTCTTCCTATGTTGTAAAATAAACATTATTGTTGCATGAGAACCTTACCAATAATAAAAAATAAAAGATAAAAGTAAAAGAGGAGTACAATTTATAATTATTACAACCAAAATTAAAGTAATAACTAGACTGATGACGAGTTGCAATGCATTGCAACCACCACCGCCATTCTTATGATAAACACTTACCCTCGATCCTCAGCCACTCCTTGATTTCTTTTCGCTTTCGATACTTTGAAGACATTTTTAATTTGAAAAAAAAATTTTTAAACCAAATAATATTAATAATATTATTATTGGCACTTGGTGTTGCACAAGACTTTTTTTGACAGCATAGTGGAAATTTGAAAGGTTACACTATTTTTTATATTGTGCAATGCAACTTTACAATGGTAGGGAGAGATTCAGTATGGTATAACTCTTGCAGAACGTATGGTATGGTATGGTATGGTATATAAGGTTTCTGGTCCAAACTGTTTCTCAAAGCTCAAACTAGTTTGGGCAATTTGGGCTTCTCAACATTTTCTATAAGCATGAACATTAAAAAACTATATGAATCAACTTGTTTTAACTTAAACAACTTTAAAATAATTTGCCCAATTTCGGCTAATAACAAAAAGTAGTTTGGGCTTATAAAAAAATAATTTTTGCCCAAAGTATTTGAGCAATTTCAGCTACTAATAGAAGCAGTTTCAACCAGAAACCTTAATCACAGATAAAGCCCACTATGTTGCTATGTACCTATTGGATTTCAACATTATTTACAGAAAATTCATTACAGTCTCAGCAACACTTTTGTCAATCATCATTTTGGTTTTCCATTGAAGCATCCTTTTAATATTACCATGAACCCTTGCTAGAAGACCAAAGATTTCTGATATTTTTAAAGTAAATTGAGATAAGTTACTTGACAGAGTGGTATATTATGACCCCAAAAGTTCTTTTATTAGATCTGATTTCCTTTTTAAAGCATCTTCTGGTGCTTATTGACCCATCATCCATTGCTTTAATCTGTGCCATTAAAAATATGTTTTGTTCAGACTTGGAAAGAGCTTGAAAGGATTCCTGTAATTCCGCAAACTCTTCCTTGGGAATTCTTGGACTGCGACCACAATTACAACTTTTTCTAGAAAATCAATTGCCTTTTGATATTCATAAAACCATTATATTTGTTACCCTTATTATTATTCATATACAAGATTGTCAAAAATTTTTTTTAATCTTAAAAACGTAAAAATGCAAAAAAACGAAGCGGAAAAATTTTGTGCCTTCATGAAGGTACCTAATTGACCCTCGCAATCCTCAGATCTTAATCCAGTTGAACATCTTTGGAGTGAACTAGGGAGGCGATTAGATAAGTGAACATAATACCCAAAAAATGCCAACGAGTTGGAAGCTGCATTACAAGAAGTGTAGTCAACGAACTCCATATGAAACTTACTACAAATTAATAGAAAACATGTCTAGAAGGATTGAGTCATGCATTTCTAGCGATGGATGGCCAACTCGATATTAATATTAAGTTTTATTTCATTTTTTTTTATTTATATTTTGAACACACAAAATAAATATTTTGTTGATCATCATCATTTTCGTAGAGTTTTGGATTTTTTTAACTAAAAATTTTTTAGACGTTTTGAGAGTATCAAGATTTACATGCATATTCATCAAAACCTAAGCTACATTTTGATAAAATTTTATATGTAGTTATTATGCGCGTTTTTGTATAATTAGCAAAAACAGGTGTCCGGATACTTTTGTCCAGGGAGTGTACATATAATCCTATATACATATAAATTTTATGTTCGCTTTGTACAAAGTAGTATGTTGCTAAACAATGCATAAGTATGTCTTTGTTTCTAAGGTATAGAAATATCCAGAAAAAATTTTCAGGAAAATACAATTGTAAATGTTGTCAGAAAGAAATTTTTTTATTGAAATTTAATTGTTCCTAAAATTTTGCTCCTAAACTACCCTATAATCATTTATTTATTTCACTCAAAGATAAAATTTTCTTATCAAATATTTATAAAAACATCATCACGATTATTAATTAATTAAAGTAATTAAAAATATAACCTCAAAAATAATAATCATCATCAAGTTAAGCCTCTTTTCAGCATGGTACATAGTGCAAACATGCAATCAGAGTAAGGTCTCCTGCTGAAACCTGTTTAGCCTAATGCTGAAAAGGTAAAACTTCTTATGCTACCCTCAAAAAAGTATCCAGTTGAGGTTTTTTAAGAATTACGCAAAATGCCACATAATGAAAGTACATAAAATTTATATCATATATGACTTAGGTTTTGGCAACTCTACACATAAAATTTCATTTTGCTATCTTTCTTTTACGATTTTTAGTATAAAAAAACAAACACCAAATAAATCACGAGAATTATCTTAATAATTTTATGTTTCTCAATTTTATACTATAAAATTCAATAGTTTGTAGTTTATGTTCTCATAAACAAATGACTAAAACTTTATGTTCCTGTCATGTGCGAAAGTTTTGTTATTTAAAATAAACTGATACCATAAAATGATTAAATCACAAAAAACTTTCACAATTTTTTTTGATTTTTAAAAATGGTATAAGTTAAAAATCTAGAATTAACCAAAGCTGAGCAAGGAAAAATTTTAGGTCTAAAGATAGGTGGTAGTTCTCTTGCAAAAATCGCAAAGACACTTAATATTCCAAAGTCTACAGTTCATGACACTATCAAATATTATGAGAATGCCAAAAATTTAAAAAGTGCACCAAGAAGTGGTCATCTGGAGACATTGAAAGTTAAATATCAAAAAAATTTAAGAAAATTGTGTCAAAAAAAAATAGTGGTTCTTTAGAGTAATATCCAAAAAGTTTTATAAAAGTTAGTGGTGTTAGAGCATCAAAAAATACAATTTGTACAAATTTGCATGAACTTGGAATTTTTTCCAGAATTGCTGCAAAAAAGCACTTGTTAAGAAGATAACAAAGGGAGAACGGGTTGAAGTGGTGCATGGACAGAAGAAATTGGACAGTAAGCATACAGGACATTTACATAGTAAATAAAAATGTGATATTTTGAATTTTGCGTGACAAATTGTATTGTTTTTAAAAAAAATTTTTTTTTATTTTCATTTTAAATCAATAAGCAACATTCACTATACAGTCGAACCCTCGTTTCAACGGACCTCGTTTCAACGGATTTTTGTTTCAACGGATTTTTGGTTTTACCCCTTGATTTTATTAATTAAAAAATTCTCGTTTCAACGGATTTTATATTTAAATCGCGTTTCAACGGACAACAGATTTTTTGGTAGGATTTTAATATTAATATTAACAATAAGTACTAATCGCGTCACAACGGATTCACGTGATATAGATTTTATAAAAAAAAACACATTACTATGTTAAGATTAATTTGTTGCTAAATAATAATATAAACAAATTGAATAATTCTCATGAATAATTCTCACATTACTATTACTAAATAATAATATTAATCAAAATTTTCCATATTTCTAAATAATGATTTTACACAAATAATTAAACACACATTACTAAATAATAATATTAATCAAATTTTTCATATTTCTAAATAATGATTTTACACGAATAATTAAACACACATCACTAAATAATAATATTAATCAAATTTTCCATATTTCTAAATTGATAATAAATAAATATCTTCTAATAATTCTACATAATCAACATTTTCTTTGATTTCTTTAAATTAATAAATCTCTAAATTCTACGAAATTAAAATGTCTCAACAACTATCTTCTTCTTCCAAAAAATGTGAAAGCTTTTGAAACTGCTTTTAATTTTCTTGAACAAAATAATATACAAGCAAATTATAATGAATTAAAAGCTTTAAAATCATTGAAAAAAAAACAATAAAATCATATAGTATTCAAAACTCAATACAAACAAACATTACTAGTTTTTTCAGTAAATAATTGACTATTAATTAGCATTTAATTTTTTGTAAATTTTACTGTATTATATCAAGTATTGTATTAAGTATTATTATTATATTTAAATCACAAAAATTTTATTATTATTAAAATTTTCCTGTTCACCTCTCATCTAATTTCTGAATTACCTTATTATTTTTCAAATTACTTTGGTGCTAACTTAGGCTTTCTAATGATATGTGCTTTATAAGCCGGAAATAAATTTTTGATGGCCCAGGAAAGGGATTAATAATGAATGAATTTCGATTTATCTTTTACCTATAACATGTCGATCGACCAATCAAATTTATGATAGCATTATATTAATTTACGTGTTGCACAAATTTTTATTACGCA